GACTTGTAATATTAAACGGAGGGAGTAAAATTTTTCCTTTCATTAATGTCTTTATCAAATTCTTTTTTTTTTTCAATATCATGTGGTCGTAATCACCCACAAGTGTTGGCCAAAAAACCCCCACCAAGTTGAAGAACACAACAATAATGTCTCATTCCAAACCATCCCAAGATTCGACTTGTTGATAGAAAAGTGGATGTTATTTGAGCTGAGAAATTTCAACTTCAATATTATAATCAACATTTTTAAATGCATATAAAATGAAAAATTAAATATGCCTACTTCTTTTCCAACTGTACCTCCTGTAAGAAAGATGTGACCCAAAAAAAAAAAATCTCATTCCATCTTTCTATTTATATTGATAGAATATTTTGTTTTCGTGTGTTGGTAAGTCTCTTGGAGGGCATGCGTAGAGTTAAAACCAACAGTTGAGATTGCTCCACGTGCATTAGGCATGATTTCCATTCCACACCAAATCCTTGTCTCTTTCTATGGCTGTGAGAGCCCATAGACAAGGGAACCACTGCTCATCACTCCTACAAGGTGATATGGGCCTTCATTTCTTTTAAAATGATTTATGCTGTTGATTTAAAATTATTTTTTAGATATTTTTATATTATATTTTTGTCAAAAAAATATGAAAAAATTATATTATTAATCTAGACTGTTCAAAATATATCTAGATAGTCAATTAGTTAAAATTATAAATTTTAATATTAAGTTTAACCTTTCAAATTGTACCTGTACTGTTTAGAGTATATTTGAATGGTCAATTTATAAAATTTATTAAAAATTTAATATTAAATTTGGTCATTCAAATTAAACTTTTACTGGCCAGATTGGTGATAAATAGATTTATTAAAGATTTATATATTTTTTACATATTTTTATTTTATTAAATATAAAATTAAAATAAAAAGCTTAAATTTAGACTGTTCAAATCTTATCAGGGATAATGAGTACCATAATATTCATTCTCTAATAATCATAAAAATTGTCAAAGATTATATATATGTGAGCATATAATACGAATGCTAAATAAACTATATTAACATTATATATAATGATTAATTAATTCAATTACATTTATGGAAATTAAAATTGTCTAAGGATATTATTTTTCTCATTATTTCTTTCTCTCATTTGGTAATTTCAAAGATACATTTTCGAGACTATATACTGGAAAGACGTTTAGGTCTGTAAATGCATTAAGCTGTGAGTGACATGCGTGAAGCAGATTAGATCAATTATAATAGGGCATCTCTTATAATTGCTTTCTTCTTCATTGCTTTTTGCAGCGAGCCCTGGCGTTCCATCGCCTGCATTTTAATTTCTATTATTTCTTTCTTTCTTTTAGTGGCAGTGAGCATTTGTTAGGACTTAGGAGATAGCCTTTAGGTTCATGTGGAGTTCAAGTGTTGCCACATGGAA